TTTTTGTCATTTTTGGTAAAAGTGATATTTTCGACTTCTTGTTGAAAACTGTAAGTCCGATTGCTTTGATATTACATATATAGGTACTACATGTGGACCTCTCTCAGATTTGTTCGTTTTGTGATGATGTCTTCAATTCTCTAATTAATTTATTTTGGTGAATATTTTTGTAATTTTTGGTAAAAAGTGATATTTTCGACTTCTTGTTAAAAACTGTAAGTCCGATTGCTTTGATACTATTCATATTGTTCATTTTCTAATGATGTCTTCAGTTCTTTAATTGAAATGTGCATTGCTAACAGCGGAGCTATCTCAGCCGATAGGCTGCTTGTTTGGAATTGATTTGGTTGTACGAATTTGTAGAGTCTGCGAATTAATAGTTTTTACAGTACCGAATGTAGATGGAACTACTGTATGAGAATGTTGATCTGGTTTGATGCTTGACTTGGACATGGAAACAGTTGATTGTACAAAACAATGTTAACATTCTAGGGTGATCTTTCTGATAAATACTTTTCAAATATAGACAGAGATGTGGGTTTTCCCCATAACATGACCTTTGACACATGTTTACATTATTTAGGTAGATTGTTATGCATGGTGACAGGATGTGCATTGACAGATTTCTGTATTTTCAAAATATATTTCAGACTTAACTCTGGACTTCCTGGTATAATTATAAAGTGCTTTACATATTGTTATAACTCAGTGCAAGTGTCACATAGAATGAACAAAATAGATTTCCCTCTTACATATGCCTCTTTCAGCTTCAATGTACTGTAAAATACTTTATTTTCGCTGGATTTAATTTTTGCTGAAAGACTTTTTGAGTGTTTTGTATGCAATTTATTTTCACTGATTTTTGATGAGTTGAATGTAAAATATAGGAAAAAAGTATATTAGCTGGATTTTATTTTCACTGAATCATTCCTTCAGCAAAAATTGCGAAAATTAAGTCCAAGCGAAAATAAAGTATTTTACAGTATCAAATTATATTCATTTAATGTTTTTATAAAGTTTGAAAAAGTACCGTACCAAAAATTGATTTGGTAGGGCGGGCCACCATGGTAATATCATACGTCTCCAGGCTAAATATCACGCCACCAGGTTAAAATTCTTCAGCACCATGCTAAAATGACCAAATATAATCCTGCATAAGTATAAATTCAAAGTGTTTTAATACATTAGTGAGAGGTCGCATTTTACATGAACAAGAACATGCACTAAGAAGGAAAAGCAAGCCGGAGTTGAAACTGGGTGTATCATGGACTTGGTACAACATGCGCTGCGACAATTGAGTAATCGTCGACATCATTTTGGGGCGCAATTGACATTAAGTGTGTATTGACCCCAAGTCACGCACTGAACTGGCGCGTTACCTGAGCAACCTTTTTAATCCCCGTTTGGATGCAGTCCAAAAACAGGGACTTATGTTTTGACCGTTCGTGCGTCTGTGCGTGCGTGCGTGCGTCCGACCTGTATCTTAGAAATGCCTGGACCAATCACAATCAAACTTCACACATACATCATACATGATATTATACATATGCACGTCAATTTATTTCACGATCTGGTGGCCATTTTTGTGCTAAAAAATCATCAAAATCAAGCATTTCCCAGCTGTTTACAGATGGATTTTGTTCAAACCTTGTATATATGTTGAACATTATAGGACCTCGATGCACATAATTTTGTTTTTCAGATACATGTAAGATTCAAAATGGCCGACTGGCAGCCATTTTGTTTTAATGAATGTGGTTCTAGTGCCATATCTCTGACTTGCTTAGACTGATTATGTTCAAATTTTTGACATTCATTATAAATCATGTCATAGATATACAGATATATTGGTTTGATGATCCTATTCAAAATGGCTGAATGGTGGCCATTTTTGTGCTAAAAAATCACCAAATATCAAGCATTTCTGGCATTTATGGATGGATTTTGTTCAAACTTGGTACATACATTAGACATTATGGGTTCCTGATGCACGTCATTTTATTTTTCAAATCGGATTTAAAATGGCCAACTGGTGGCCATTTTGTATTAATGCATGCAGCTCTAGTGCCATATCTCTGACATGCTTTGACTGATTATGTTCAAATTTTATATATTCATTATACATGAATTCAAAATGGCAGATTTTGTTTTAATTAATGCTGTTTCAGAGCAATATCTCTCAATACTCGTTTGACGATCAGATACAAATGTCAATCATTTTAATGTTGAACAACCATCATAATCATATTCCTGACATATTTATGTTCGAGTTATATTACTATATAAACAAAACGCAAGTCCATCTAAAATTATTACCTGTGGTATATCCGGCGGTACTGCAACTCTGATTTGGCTTTGAATATTTCAACATCGTTTACTAAGTGTGCTGTTTTTTTAATAACACAAATATGTTTTAACTCATGAATACTTAGAGTTAACTGAAGGGCAACGTTGTTTTTTGAAAAAACAAACAAAAAAAACCATGTCAATGCAAGATTATGTTTGCAAGGTTAGATTTTTTTAATAATCATGTCGCACGTGATTACTGATTTTGTACAAAAATTGAAGTACAATTTGTACGACTTTATGTTAGTCAGTATTTTACTGAATCGTACACATTTTTGCCAATGACATAAGCAAAAAATGATACTTTGTATGTCGTACTGTATCATTCTAATAACTGTTGCAACGTGACTACATCATTTTTTTATATAATCAAAATGACATTGGACATAAAAAAATACATAGTTTTATTTTTTATTAAAAATGTAAAACGTTCGCACAAATTCAAATACTAGAGTCTACAGACTAAGTCTTTTCAGCCAGCCTTGTTGCACACACGATCACGTAATATAGAACACTATTGTTCTCTTCATTTGCATGCAAACAAAACTATCAAAGTTAATGAGCTGCTTGCGTTAAAGCAAAGCTAACCTGCGTTAACGAGGCGTTGGCACGGTCCTAATCTTAACATGGCGTTAACGTAAGTCAACGCGTTAGGTAAGCAGTAGACTGGCGCAGTCTGCCGGTTAATTTGTTTTTGTAGTTTAAATAAGATAAAAAAAATCTTATCGATTTTGTTCAATTGCCAGTGCATTTTACGATGAAAAATTGCCTTGAGGTTGCCGAGATTTACGCCAGGGAAATGCCCAAGATTGCATCTAAAGGCATTTAAATGATTAGTATGTTGTTTTAATAAATTACTACTAGTCTCCATGGGCTCATAGAATCTAGAGTCATGTAATATATCTTGTTTAGTTTTGTAAATATTATGAAATAATAGCACTATATAACTGCGCTCCAAGTATTCCTTTTCAGATGGCTAGAAAATGTTGTCCTGAAATTTTATTGTGAGAAATTTTGGTATTTAGAATGTTTTGAAGTTTCTAATTCAGTAATTGTGACCTTTTGTTGCAAGTTTTCTATCTGATGATAATTATAACATTTAAAATATTTTTGTCTAATTTTCAGCCTGGTGGAAATATGATGGCTTTTGGTAAAGAGCTACAAAGTAAGGCATCCCATGATGCATTGCTCAAACTATGTGATCAGGAAATCAGATTGTTGGAAACAATGAAGAAATGCATCACACTTCGTATCAAATGTGATCGTGATTACACAACATCACTGGCAGGATTTTCAACTTTGGGTAGCAGACTCGATGGGATGAGCATATATGATGGTCAAGTTTATCAAGTAAGTTTTACATTCCAACTTTGTTTTATATGTAAATACCCCTCTCTGATTATTGTGAGCTTCTTGAATAAAAAAAAATGGGTGTGGCCATTTTTTACTTCCGTGTGTGAAGCACACAATAGGAGTTTTTGTAGTTAGATTGTCTGTATGGATGTATGTGTGCTTGTGTTCGTCTGTTCCACTGATATTTCAAGAAACATACAGGGCTTTCATTAACAGCCGGCAACCGGCCAAAGTATCTGCCTACTTGCTGCGGGTTTGCCGGCTACTTTATTATTAAATATTTTATTAAAATCAAAACAAAATGTTTATTTTTCCTTTGAAGATGAAACCATAAAATCATGTCCCATAGAACTAAAACATGCGTTCTGAGGCTTCCCCAGATATAACAAATTACGTACGCAATGTGATCATTAAATTTACGCAGTTTGACCTTTGGCGACCTTTTGTGCAAGCCATAATGAGCATTGTTCGAAATGAGCAGTCCTATTGGTTCTTTCCCGGTCAGCCTCGTAATATCGGCCAATCAAAACTCGCGTACTATTTACAAAGCACTACCACGGTAAATCAAAATGGAGGACAAAAGAAAAAAGTTTGCTTTGTCACGTCCCGGAAATCAGAAGTCCCTTTTGGATTCGGGATTTAAGCGGATCAAGGGTAAGTATTTACATTGTTACAGTCAGAGTTCGATCACATTTGTCAGAAAATAATAGGAAGCCACTTGTATTTTTATTGTTTTGAAGTCAATTACTAATTAGTACGCCGGTGTTTTACGTAGCTACGTAATTGCTGTGACCGGCGTCCATCAGCCGTAACAACTTACACTCTGATAGCTAGTGCTGCTACATGAGAGGGTTTGGGATGGATTGGGTTCACGTCAACGTTTATTTTTATTTTTTTTGAATGTGATCAGTCTACTTTTAATTTATATTTTGTCACACTGTTAGCGGCGCCATATAAATAATAACAATTTTGATTTATATTACCGCTAATCATTTACCGCTAATAATTTAATTTCTAGATGTAATCAAAGTTGAGAGATAGAATATTTGAAGTGGGTAAGTTGTAACTAA